TTAAAGCTTTCACTTTAGCTCAGCAATAGTTGATTTCATAAATTCATGGGAATTATCAGTATGCATCCTGTATAATCTTAATGTAGATAATCAGTTACCCAAGATCTGAGGAAGTTTCTTCCTCAAATGGATCACTTCTTGTCTCCTTTGGTGCAATCTATATTGCAATCCTGCTAAGTCTAATTGAGGATAGATTTGGAAATGTAGTCATCTTCATTGTCTATTTGATGGTATATCTACAATTTTTGTTCTGCCTGATGTGAACTTTGCTTGACATGCTTAAAGCCCAGGTAAGGTTGTTCCAAATCAGGTGCAGATTGGCGTGTTAACATTTGAGCATTATTCATTGCCTTTATGTGCCATCCACGTTCATTTCCCCTGACTCCCACTGATCACATACGGTCAGAACTAGTGGAAGGATGCATTCTGGTTGGTCTCTACTCCTAGAATCTGTAATACAAGAAAGCTGCATCGTTGTAAATTTGTTGTTTTATCAATCTTTTCTCATTGACAACTAGTTTGTAGAAGATGCTATTTTTTTAAAAATACATGTAATCTTGGCCTTTTCAATACACAAATAAAATAGCTTTTCTTGGTGATAAACTCCTTCCTAACCCCTTCGGCCTCTGCAAAAGTCAAAGAAATTCTATGGTATTCTATATATTTCAACTTCTTCCAGCTTATTCCCACTAAGGCTGTTTGTGTATTTATAAAATACAAATTACATGGAATGTCACATTTATATCTGGCTCCCCAAGGCAGTTTGTCAGTGTAGGGAGGTATGTCCCTCCCTCAGACAGAAAAACAAAGAAAGAAGAAAAGAACTTTTATTGGTTGTTGTGGTTTAGTATTACTAGTACATCTTCAGGTATGAAAAACAAGACAAGACAAAACAGTTCTTACAAAATATCACTGGCGCATTGTCTTTCTATTATTCCAAATGATGTGCAATATGTGGTTAATGGTAGGAGAGGGAGAACAGCCTATCGTTACTTTAACTTGCATTCTTGTTCTAAGGCACTGTAGGAAAACCTAATGTCATCTGGATATCATAGCAGTCCTTACCATATAATTACATGGGACCAACATTAGCTGATCAAAGTAAAAGAAAAAACAATTATTTTATTTATAAGCCATCTGCCACAAACGATTATCATTTACTTAGGCCCTAAGTTACAGTTTCCATTTTAATAGTTCTATTAGTGTTTGGGTGGTTTCTATGAAGATCATTCAATAAACATTGTCCAGAAAAAGCCAGATACTTTTGATGCGTAATCCTCTGGAATGTTTATTAAACCATAACGCTGAATCTTCTGACAGTTTTATTTCTGAGAATGTTATAACATTATTATGCATCCCACCGGTAATTCTGCGTTACTAAAAACTCCTGTGCAATCTAATGAGTCTTACTGAAAGCATATGCAGCTGAATTAATAACAGGGACATCAATGAACTATAGAAAGTCAGAGAGTAGAAGGGGTGCGATGGGGTGAAAAGAATGCAGAAAAAAATTCTTTTTCACTTTTGCAACAAAAAGTAACTGAAATAAGAAGAAACAGTAATATAAGGATTTTAAAATCCAAATATAAAAAGTAGATTCACCTGAACAGAGTATTTCATCATGCATTATGTATTTACTGGTCTTAATTTACTAAATCTTAAACAGACTCTTACTGCAGAGTCTCTGGACAAATTGAATTTAACTTAATTATAGGATGAAGGGGTTCTAAAAAATGACTTAAAACCCTAAATGTCCTTGAATTTACTTCTGTGAATAGGTTTCTGCATGTCACATTTTCTGTAAGGCCACCCTGCAAGGATCCTTTTATCACCTGTAAAATAGATGCTATTCCTCCTAACTAACCACAAAGAAAGCTCAGTCTAAGGTTCAGTACACTTAATACAAAGCCTCCAAAGAAGGGAGGGCTTCAGATAAAACTCAGTGCTTGGCCATAATGAACCTGGTAAATGTTGGTTTCCTGCAATAAAAATAATAGGTGAAATCTTGGCCTATTGAAGTCAATGGGAATTTTGCCATTGATTTTAGCAGGGCCAGTATTGCAACCCATAAATTTAGTGAGCAAACTAAAAGAAGTGGGTGAAGGAAGGAAGGAAGGAAGGAAGGAAGGAAGGAAGGGGAATTAATGTAACAGAACCTATACATTATTTCAGTCCTTGTTCTGCCCTCCTTTGCCTGAGTGAATAAGTCCTGATACTCCTGAGATGTGCTCACAGAAACTATTGTGGCAGTGTACTGAACACGAAATATTTACAAAAGCATTTAATGAGTAATTCCGAAACAGGAAAATTGGCTTTGTTGTTATAATGAGTCAGTCTCAAATTCAACCAGAGGTTGTTTTAGGGGTGAGTAACCAAGGGCAATTGCCCAAGACTGGATACCATGGGGAGTGTGTTAGACTACAATAATTAAAAGTATAAGTTATGCAATATACCTCAATCTATGCCTGTGTTCCTGCTAGTCAAAACCCACTGTAGCTCTACACAGATGCAGTTAGATCTTTCAAACACAATCCTTTCTGTAATGTGAGTAAAATACAGGCAAAAGATTTAGTTAGAAACATAAATGTATTTTTGTCTTTTTGTATTTATATCCTTATCTGTGTTTCTTTTTACTGATGTGTTAAAATATCTACTTTCTGATTTCTGATGTGTAGTAAGTGTCGCCACCATATTTTTGCGTGGGTTTTCTCAGACATCCATTACACACGTGCACTACATGGCCCATGTTCAGCAAGGCAGTTTCAGAAAGCTGCGGACTAACAAACCAAGCACTGTACAGCCACACCACAGACAGGTTATGGTCCTATCTGGAAACAAAAAACACTGGATGTGAGGAAATGTATGTGTTGGTACCCCATCACGGGCTGCAACATTGTACTTGAAAGCCCTGTGTTTCTTTAGGAGATGAAAGCTGTGGGAGAAATTTGAACTTCTTGTTCAAGTGTTCCAGGGTCTGGACTAGAATATGGAGAAGCACAACCACCCAGTTTGTGGGGCTCTTTCAGAGGGATTATTTGCAAAAAAGGGATAGTTTGGAAAAAAAAAAAATTGCTGGTTAGCAAACAACAGGAGGCAAAGGGTGGCTAAAAATACATTATCTGATGTGAAGGAGGTATACAGGCAAAATACTTCTGAACATAAAAGCATGGTGTAGAAATGTGATGGATCTGTAAAGTCTGCCTTGAACTAGCTTAATATCTGTAACATTCATCTCACAGTAATAAACTAAAACAGAGTAAACTTATACTGGTATACTGGGATTGGAAAATGGTGACATCCATTGCAGACATTGTTTTGCAATACAGTTTTCCTTGACTGTATTACATTGTACTGTATTGTATTAAATCTCAGTTTAATACTTATCAGAGTATTCAACAATAAATTTTCCCCACCACTTAAAACACTCTGCAGGTTTCCAGCCCAGAGTGGTTACCTGGCAATTTAAGCAAATGTTTTTGTTGTCTGAAACTGTAGGACATCCACTTTGTTACCATCATGGGTATTGAGTGCTTGTCCAAACTGGGGTAAGCAAACAAATAAACCAAACAAACCACCACCAACTGTCTTATGCAGAAAATATTTTACATTGTGGCAGCATTTTTTCTCTGTAAAAATGTTTTTAAAACTAGCAGGAGGTGCACATAAATGATCAAATTTATAATAAATCTTTTGTGAGCTTAGCTGATATGGCTCATCAGAACATCTAACAGTAGTTACCCCTAAGCACAGGAATGCTTATAGATAAGATGAAAGCAGCCCTTCTTATTAATCACACTCTATATCTGACTCCTGCTCCTTTCTTCAGTCTTTAAATCAACTCCATATGGTTCTTACTATTCAGTTGTGCAGCTTACCTTTCACAATGAAACATGCTTACTGCTGCAGAAGCAGCTCCAATGTGATTAAAGTTATTAGGTAAAACAGTGGTTGCTTAAGTCTGGAATCAGCTAACCATAAAAAACATGATCAGCCACAAGATGAAACTGAGGACCAAATCTTCACTGGGTGTAAATTGGCTGGACTTCAGTTGATTTCAGTGAAAGGTATTGAAAACAATGTTCTGGGCCACCTTTCTTTATGTTAATACTTTATGGAGCACATCAAGCAAGATGCCAGAACAATGCTTGTGTAAGTAAGAAAAAATCTCATCATATTGCAGGCTAGTCCTGGGTTTATGGTTGGTTGTGGCAGGGCGAGGACCTAGGTAGCTAGAAGGGAATGACCCTGCCTATGTTAACTAAAACAAACCAAAACAAAAAGCGACCCTCTCTCTGGGGTGCCCAGTTTATTTAGAGGGTCCTAATTCAGATTCTGTTCAACAGACTGCAAATGCAAGCCAAACAATGCACACAAAAGCAAAGGAGCAAAACAACTTTCTATGTTTTTTGGTTAATGACTTTGTTCTTTTACTGCCATGACAGTCTCCATTCCTTTACAATTTTTTGGTCACAGCTAAACTAAGCTGTGTTCATTGCTGAGTTTCTGAAACTCTTTGTGGAGATGTAACCCAGTAAAAAATCATATTGCTGAATGACTGTGAGATAGGATCAGTCCAGGGGAGGTAAGATATGGTAGGATCTCTTCCAGGTAGGACTCACATGTAAGTTATGATGTATAAGTAGGACCTGGCATTTCGTTGTGGTGAGCTTTGTTCTTTTAGGGTTCATTTTGGAGCTGCCATGACATCTCTACCACAAATGCTCACTGAAACCTTAACGCAGATGGAGGCAGGCAGGGCCTGCTCCAGCTTATGCCAGCAGGCCGTGATACCTGGAAAAACATTGGGACTCCGTGACTGGAAGGGGATACCCAGATAGTCAGGTCCCTACCCCAACAGTCATGGGGTCAGCTGAGACTTGGGCTCCCCTGAAAATCTTAAAATTTCCCCTTTTGGCAAGAATGCCAGCTATGCACCCTTATGTCACCAGGGTGCCTAAACAGATAAAAATACCACAGCTACAACCTTTTCTCTTTTACAGCTTGAGAACTACATTGTGGAAAACATGAAATCGGAGATGGTGCAGCTGCAGCAGAATGCTGTGCAGAACCACACCGCCACCATGCTCGAGATAGGGACCAGCCTCCTCAGTCAGACAGCAGAGCAGACGAGAAAACTCACGGATGTTGAAACCCAGGTATGTTCCCAGAGCTTTTTTCTAAAAGCTGTTAATTGCAGAGAACTTTTGCCATCCTCTTTCTTTTCTAATGCATCATCACACAAAACATTTCAACACAGGACTCCAAGACACTCTGTTTCTCGGTACAACAGCGGTGATGACTGACCCTTGTTATGTGTCTTTCTTTTGATTTCATTTCGTTAGTATATTTAGCTCTGTGTGTGTAAGGCAGGCAGGGCTGTCCAGGAAACTAAATCAGCATTTGACTTCAAATAAACAACCCAGCTACCAGCTGTGAACAAGTGTCAAGCTAAATAACGAGTTTCGGGCTAAAACAGTCTTTGATCTCCATTGTTGTTTGCCTCTTTACTATTACAAGAAAGTTTATTTTCTACAAGATATTTCCAGCTTTTTGAAAAGTAGTGTATGTCTGCAGCTTTTAAACTGTGAAGAGAGAGGGACAAGCATCAGCTTCTTTATAAAACACTGTGTTATTACTGTAAAATTGTATAACATCACATGAATCTCCATATGATTCCTAGCACTAAAATCACTGTCGTGATTGAAGTGACAAGAGTATCACTGTCATAACACAGAGTACAATTTCATACTGGGCTTATTGCAGAGATATGTACTAGTTTGTGCCTTTGAATTCTTTTATCAGTTTAAGATGCATATTTGTTTTCCTTATTTTTGCTGACTTCTTGATCTTCGTAGCATGTGGTATATTACCAGCTGCACTGCATTCGTTGTTTATTTAGAACAGGGGAATTAAAATATTGCATTTATTTGGTTTGTTCTAGCAGCAGATGTACTTCTTGAAAGATCATATTTTTTGTTCTAATGTCCTTACGTTTACAATATCATTACCCAGTTTTTACGTAATCACATTACAGTACACTGAGAAACAATGGTAATTATGAAAGGCAGATACACTGCCTTACAGAAGTTCCCTGAACCTTTTTTTTGTACATCTTGGTTAACAGATCAACATTCACTTAAATATGTTGTGATCGCAAATGACCACAGTTTCTAAAACATAGTATGTTGACTTATGAAAATATTGGGGAAAATCTTTAATTCTGTATCAACAAAATATCTAAATGGAAACATAAGAGGTGAAGACCAATGGACTGTAGTATCATAGGTTCAATAAAGAAAAAGGAGGTGTAGGAACTCTTCTTACATCCCAAAAGACCTACCTAGGTGTAAGTGTTGAGCACTTAATCACATTTTCCTCCTTTATGCAGGTAAGGGACAAAATGTGGATTGCCTCTGTCTCACTTTTCCTTTGAGGAACCATTTCAAGGTAGAGGTATCACTGGCAACTGCATTGAGGAGCAGATGACTTCCTCCTTCTGTACCTATTGCTGAAGAATTTAAGGGATGTCCAAGATATCAGTGGAAGTGGCTCTTCCTTGTTGCAGTACTTGCTCTGACTTTCAGCTCAGTGAAGGCATTTCCCACCTCCCCTCTTTCAGCAGTATGAGGAAGTCCCTGGCTCTACCATCAACCAGAAAAGAGTGGTGCAGGTGGCTCAAGAAAGTGAAAAGAGATTGCTTTTGGCAGTGATGGAGGTAGCTAGCTGCATGTCAGAGAGGTGAAGGTCTTTACGATACAAGAAGAAAGGCAGGCCAGGATCTCATGCCTGTAATAAGAAGTACTCATACCAGAGTAAGGGCCAGTCTGAAGGACTGAAGATAGAGCCTCCACCTTCTTAAAATCTTGCTGACCCGTCCCAGTCCCTGATCCATCTCAGCTGCTGTGTGCACATACCTACAAAAACAATTTACACACACTCCTCCAGACTCTATGTAATGAACGATGATATACCAACAAAATCAGCTAATATTTATTGATATTATTGCTTTCATCCTAGAAAACATTCTGTTATTTCCACTTCTGAACTATTTTTTGTTCAAATCTATCCTTTCATCTAGTTAAAATGCTTCTTTAGGTCTGATGTACTTAGTAAAACATGTGCTATTGATACAGATAACCACTAAAGTGAAAGACAATTGCATAAAGCAATGTTTAAGATCACAGCCTTCATCTTAAAAATCTGTGTAAGAGTGCAAGTAGTACTAACATAAGCAGACACCAGACTTCTGCCAACACTACAAAAGAGAGAACTCAGGGGAAAGCTAAAGTAGGAGCTCTATTTACAAAACAGCAAATGCAACACTTTGGCTTCAGTCCAAGTACTCTTGCACTCTTAGTTTAAGCATGCTTCGTAGGAATGCATGTTTGAGGCATGCCTCTTGCTCTTTCCATTGAAATAAAGCTTGTTTGGCAGTCACCTTTCCTTTTTCTCCTGGTCTAGTATTATTCTACAGTAAACAAGGTGCCAGAATATCAGCTGGTACATATCAGTGTAGCTTGATTGAATTCATTTGCACCAGCTGAGCAGCTGAGGTTAAAAAAGGATTTAGAAACAATTTTTGACTAATCATCAAATCAGAATGAAATGGTTGCATTATGTTGCTATAACAACATAACCAGGACAATATAAACATTAATGTTTTTAAATTATCCTTAAGGTGCTAAATCAAACATCCAGACTTGAAATTCAGCTACTGGAAAATTCACTGTCAACGTACAAGCTAGAAAAACAGCTGCTACAACAGACACACGAAATCCTGAAAATTCATGAGAAAAACAGGTAATAATGTCTCTTACACTCTTACTTTGTTCATCATGAAGTGGTCTGTGCGTACTTTGTTCTAAGCAACTGATGAAATGGAAGAAGCAAATATGGTAAGTGGAAAGTATAGGTAATATTTATGAAATGGCTAAAAGAGCTCCTGTATGATAAATGAAAGTTGATTTTTACCACTTTTCATGTTCATTGTAAGTTTACATTTCAGTTTGCTTCATACTTTGCTACAACTTAGTCATATGACCACAGTTCCTGCTACTGAAAAGCATGGGGATAACTCTCTCACAGAGAGGTGCTTCTGTGACACAGGGACTCGGTACCTGAAGTCACCAGATTTCCAGTATCTCAAGAGAGTGTGTGTGGTCTGTTGACCTTGTCTGGCTGCCATATACCCACCCAGCTGCTCTCTCACTCCCTCTTGTTAGCAGGACAGAGGGAGAAAATATGATGAAAAAGCTTGTGGTTGAGATAAAGACAGGGAGGTCACTTACCAGTTACTCTCATGGGCAAAACAGCCTTATTTATTGCCAATTAATAACAGCATAGGATAGTGAGAAATAAAACTAAACAACCTTTCCCCCCTACCTCCCCTTCTTCCCAGGCTCAGCTTCACTCCTGACTCTTCTACCTCCTCCCCTGAGCAGTGCAGGGGGATGAGGAATGGGGGTTGTTGTCTGTTCACAACACTTTGCCTCTCCTTCCTCATGCTCTTTTCCTTCTCCAGCACGGTTCTTTCCCATGGGTTGCAGTTCTTCAGGGTAAGATTGTTCCAACATGGGCTCTCCACAGGCTGCAGTTTCCTTCTGGACATCTCCACCTGCTCCAGCGTGGGGTCCTTCATGGGAAATACCTGCTCCACCATGGTCTCTCAGGGGCTGCAGGGGAATCTCTGCTCTGGCACCTCCTCTCCTCCTTCTTCTCTAACCTTGGTGTCTGTGGCATTGTTTCTCTCACTTTTTCTCCTCACACTGTCATGTGGTGTTCTTACCCTTTCTGAAATATCTTTTCCCTGAGGTGCAACCATCATGGCTGATGGGCTCAGCTGTGGCCTGCAGGGGGGGTCAGCTGGAGTCAGCTGGAGCCGGCTGGAGCCGGCTGGAGCCAGCTGTGTCCGGCATGGGGCAGCCCCGGCCTCTCCTCGCAGAGGCCGCCCTGCAGCCCCCAAGCTGCCCAAACCTGGACACCTGCACTCTATACAGCAGGTGAAGCCATTTTCCTTCTTGGCTGCCCTTCTAGAGACCTAAGGCTCATATTCCTGCCTGTGTAACGGCCAGGTTTAAGCAGGGAGGACAGAGAGTGCTTTCACTCCACAGCTTCACTCTTGGCTCCCTTCTAGGAAGAACAACTGTGAGGTAAGTCTGACTAGAACTAAGGTTTCTATTTCCTACATTTGGCATTGAAATAAGGCAGACAGCTTTAAAAGCAAGGTACTTATTGAAGCGTCCTGTACAAGCTTTAGTGGACTGTTTAAATTGAGTTCAGACAGTTTGCCAAAATAGGCAGCGCGACTCTGGTGCTGCTGGACAGGAATCAGCAGCTGAAGCGGAAAGACCTTGCCCAGGGTTATACATACGGAAGACTAACACCACAATAGGCACAGAGCTACTGGGAAAAGAAGGCAAAGAACCAGATAATGATGAAAAATAGAAAACGTTGTTACAAAGAATTGTGTTTGCTAAATGTGTCTAGTTGCAAAGCTGGTCAAATAATATATCATTTTTGCTACTGGTTATGAAAACCAATTTAGTATATTTAATGTAACTACTGTTTATAACCAGTAATTCCAGAAAATGTTATTTTGGAGAAGTTTGATTACATTGAAAACTCTTGAACTCCACAGACTTCCCTTGACCAACTGGAAATATGAATAAATTAGTGTGGGATTAACTTTGACTTCAGCCACCTCAAAATTAAGTCATTCACCTAAACTGTGTCTGTGGGCTCTCCCTGCAGTCCATGGAGAGAGTAGGCATGTGCAGGACACAGTTCATTCTACGTATTTTACAAACCTATTTCAATTTGGGATTAACCCAAGTATTAGTTAAGTACATAAATACTTGCATTTTTATCTGCTACAATCTGGTTAGCAACAAAGTTTTATTGGCTGCTCAAGAGACTGAGTCTTGTGTACTTAATAATCTGAATTTATTTATTTATCTTAGCAATGTGTCAGGGTGTAAAGCCTTTATGTCAGTAAACAAATAAGTTTTACTTAAGTTCACCTTTGACTTGGCTGACATTACGATGAAATGGTCTGTGACATGACAAAATGGTCTGCCTTGGTTTTTTTGGAAGAAAAGGAGGGATATGTTAAAAAACACATTTTATACACAATTGTTTCTCTCAGAAGTATAGTTTTATGTGGATAAATGAAAAAGCACGTGGAGTTTCATCTTTTAATGAAGCAAGAACCTGGCATATACTGTACAGGTTCTGTTACTCTCTCCTTGGGAGTGACAAAATTAGGGAGAGGGCAGTGTTATGATTACACTAAAATATGGATCATCAGCTCCTGTATCATCATCTACTCCTAACAGAAAACTCTGTAATCTTGGCCTTGTAGGTCCTGATCCTGAAATCAATTATGTGTGTGTCAGGTTCAGTATGGGACAAATCTTGCTGATCTCGGCAGATATTAGGTTTCTGGACATGCCAATGATTTTTAGCATGCTTAACTTTAAACAGTGCTTATAGATTACCCATCAGGCTATGTTCAGTAGTTGTTTGCAGTTAAAATGTCTTCATCCCTCTCCATATCACTTGCACATCAATAAAACAGAGAAAACTCTTTTTATCCGCATTGCCTATGTGGACCATAAGCTTTTTTGGAAAGGGCTTTTCTTTTGCAGTAGATGTACACCACAGTGGGAATGGGCGTAGGAACTATTATCATCGCAAAAATAATCAAAACAGATGGTGTACTGTGGGCAGATCATTTCTTTGTGCTAAAATTTCCTCCATAAAAAATAAAAATAATGATCTTAATCACTTTCAAAGAACTGGATTTTGGATGAAAGTAATGCAAAATCTTACAGTAATAATAACTGATTGTTGATGTACTACAGTAACATGTATATTATCCTTAAATAAAATGAACACTGCATATCAACAGGGGACCAATGCATGTTCTTTAGACTAGAAATATATCTGTTCTTGGCCTTTCTCTTTACTTCCTGCCTCTGCTGGGAAGAGTGGCCAATTTTTTTCTTTTTATCTCACTGAAGTGAAAGATATTCCATGGCATAAGTAGAGTCACATTTGCCCCAGAATCATGTTTCTATTGAGTGCTCTCATGCCATAAATAATTTAATTTTGTAGGTTCCCACCCACTATAATGTAAATGGTGGTTTCTTCCATTGCCATTTTTTTTCTCCCACAAGAGCTTTCTAAAAACTATTTTGATTTATTCTTGAAAAATTTCCCTGCTTAAGTGTCTTTATGAGCCCCCTTTTTTTTCCAGAGTGTACCAGCTGCATTTTACTTACTATGTGCCATTTGTTTCAATACAGAAGTGTGAAAACAACTTTTTATTTACTTAAGTGAAACAAATGAGGAAAAATATAATGGAATTCTGGATCTTCCAGCAATAAATAGTGGAAGTTACATTTAACCATAAAATCCAGCTTGAATTTGCAGACAATCAAGCTAGATTAACACGTTCCGTACAAGAACTGTTGTACCCTATGAAGGTGAGGGCTCAAGAATGATTCTTGAATTTCTGTCTGACTGTGTGAAAGACAAAGAAACACAATATGTCTATTTGCAGGTTTCGCATATACTAAAAAGATAAATCGAGATTTTTCACTTCACTTTTGTGATTTCAGTGGAATTATCTTGTCACTGGTATAAAAAAATAGGCTTACTGATGCTAAGTGACCAATTACTTTGCTGGTGTTGAGAAATATGGGGACACATATTTTTATATTTCCTTAAACTGATCAGATAATATCAGACCACCAAAGTAAGTATGAGTGGTCAGCGCCTAACAATACAGGGAAAATTTCACTCATGTAAAAGCAAGTACAAAGAAGCTGTCTCAATGAGAAAATACTGTTCTTGCACTCAGAAGTAAGCATTTAAATTCTCTACCTGTTTGTCTTCCCATACATACATAATACAAGAGAACCACATGTATACAGCCAAAGAATTTTTTTCTAGTGTGATGTTACTTGTCTTTATTTATTGAATAGCTCAACAAAGTAAATGTTTGTATCTGTATTTTTAATAAATCCAGATTTTTTAAGAGATTATTTTAATGCAAAAGATGTCCATCTCTAAGATCTGGTCTATATCCTGTTCTCACATGTCTAAACTGAGGCCTCCAAAAATAAAGATTAAAAAAAAAAATCTCTTAAACTGCCATGGTCTGGAATGGATTAGTGAATAAACTACCTACCTTATAAGGCAGATTGTCTAAACCAGACTTTCCTTCCTCCCCAGAGAGCTACCAGAGTGCTTTCTGTATGTTCTACTTCATCACCTTTCAAAATGACAGCAGCTTTCACTGGAAGCCATTCTTTGACTTCTGCACAGGCCTTCTACCCTCTCCAGCGTTATCAGAGGGCTTTTTCTGAATCAGCTGGACACAGCACAGTTGCACCGAGGCTTCTCACTGGCTTATATCCTGGCAAAGTTAACATATTGTTTGTATGGTTGAAAATAGATTCCTAGCCTCGCCAAGATCAGTAGGTTAGACATTGAACATGGTTAATCTTTAGGAAAATTATCTGGATTTGGGGGGGGGGGGGGGGGGGGGGGGGGGGGAAAAATGTTTGTGGGGGGGGGGGGGGGGGGGGAGGTGTGGGTGTGTGTGTGGGGGTGCATGTGTGTGTGTGTGTGTTTTTAAGTCGTCTTCTAGATAATGACTCCAAAGAGTCATTGCCCAATGGATGATATTGGTATTTATCCATGTTAACAACATTTGTTTCTTCACAACATCATTCTGTTTGAATGAACATGTTTGAACAAATGCCTGATTTGTTTCCCCAAATTGAAGGCTACAATTATAAAAAACACACATACATATGTGTATGTACATGTGTGTATACATATATGATGCTTCGAGTGAATGGTGATTCATTTTTATTGTGAGTATTGTAGTTCCCATGACTGCTTCATCTGTCTGGGTCAGTAATGTTTTCAAATGTACAGGAATTTCAAACATACAGGAAATGTATAAGAATCTCAAATGTATAGGAAATGTATACAGTAAACTCGCTTTAAAAAAGAGACAGTCATTACATCACGTCCATAACATTTTACTGGAAAGTGTTATAAAAGAATGTTATATAACAATTTCAGTCAACCTTTACAGATTGTTGGATTAATTGGTATAGAGACAGACTTCTTTTTGTTTTCTTTAATATTTTATGTCAGCAATGCTCATTAATGAAAACTAGAAATATTTTCATTTTAAGTCTGTCTTCACAATGCCTCTTTAAAAAATTGAGAAAATATCTTTACCAAGCACTCAGCAAAGTTATTTCTTCATGGTATTTGTCTATTAGAAATTGTCTGATGTCACAAGGAAAAAAGAGGGAAGAGAGTGGTCTCACAACTGTTAAAAAAATAAAATCTAAATATCTTTGTAATTGGTTTCAACCTGTTTCAAGATTTTTTTGATGAAGTTTCTAGCACTTTTTTTTTTTAATTTAAATGACCTAAAATAAATATGAATGTAACAATACAAATGAAGAATTCTGACACATAAGAGCAGCTTTTCTCACGCTGTTTAAGGATTTCTTCCACAGGCCAGTGCAGAAATCCCCAATCTATGTGAAGTTTTTGCTTTCATTCATTTGGAGCTTTGACCAAAGGTTTCTCATTGATTCTTAGTAAAACACAATGCATGTTTTGGATTTCTCCCAGGAATACAGGGAGTGGTCCTATCCTCAGGACTTATTCCTCTCTGTTGTAGATTTACCGATATAGAAAGATCACTGCATAAATGCATATGCATTCCTTAAAATAGCTTAGCTTTGCAGTTTATAACAGGACTTTTAATCTACACAGAAAACTGTAAAGGAACCAAGTGCTGTGACAGTCCCATCTTTCTACCACATGTTGACACACTACTACTCATAAATATTAGAATGTATTATTACTAAAGCCATCAAACATATGCTTGCTGTCTGTCTCTGCAGATGCCAAACTGGGAAGCTCTAAACATTCTTCCTTGTCACTTGACATGTCCAGTGTTGCTACAAATAAGACTGTCATCACCATGGGTACATTTATTATGGTCTTAGGCGACGGTGGGAAACAAATAATGCAACGCCAAATTGTGGCTGTCAAAGGCTCCTTCTTTTACATGAAATCATTCAGATGTGGACATGCGGATAGGATCTTATGGAATGCCCTGTACTGTACTAGGATGTGGGCAAAGATAAAGGGAACTTTTTTTGTCTTTACTTACCATTTGACTATAAAGCAATATTCTGGCTTCAAGAATGTCATCTTCTCTTACATTGACAATGCACAACATTTTCAATGGACTGTAAGATGTCAGACTGGGATGTGGCCACGGCTAGCACCCATTCTATCACAGACTGTGAGCAGGGCCCGCCTTGTTCCTACCCAAAGTGCATTGATATAAGATAGTCTATCAGAAAAGTTAAAATCTACAATCAAAATGAGCACTTCAATAATTTCCATGAAAAAGTGGACAGAACTGATAAAATTCACATAGAACATTTTTGTATTTTGTTGAACAATATTTTATGACTAAAACCAGTTTCATCAGAACATTTTCAACCTCTTCTGCCTAACTAAGCTAATTATTCTGACCTTCTGCATAACAAAGCTCAAAGACTTCCACATAAATATTCTTTAAAAAAATCAATATGAGTCTAGAGCATAAAGGCATCGTGTTTAGTGTTAGAGTTCAAGTGATGAAAAATATCGGCTACAGGTCTGATAAGGTGTTAAAATAATTTATTTTCTTTGGCTTCAAAATCCATACTTTGTTTCAGATTGAAACTTTCTGTCATCTGATTCCAGTCCACTGAATCTTGTTATGCTTTCGTTACTAATTAATGAACCTTTTAGAATGAGATATCATGTTTCCCTTTGCGTTTGGGACCCCACAAAAAAGTGTTTTCCCTTCTCATCTTTTCTTTATTTTCCCCCTTTACCCAGATTCTTCTGGTTTTCACAGAACTAGATATGTTGATATTACAAATTATATTCTCTTCAGCATCTTTGCAAGTCCCACATTTATAACATTTCAGCAAAAGAGATTTGCTGCTTGGTTTCTTTTATTTAAAAAAAGAAAAAAAGTTTTATATTACTCTAGCTTGTACAGCAAATCCAGGGCCTGAATTTAATCTTTGCATTGTTATCATTTGTAACAGCTCATATTAAGTCTCCGTGATATCTAGTAGAAACAACTCCATATGGATTTTATTACATTCTTCAGTTAGGTTAAACGACCTGAAATTATGCAGGCATTTTGCCACTGATCTATTATCCAGAAGTAAAAACAAAGGTGGGGGGAGAGTACAAATAAATAAAACCTAAGACTGACTTGAACAGGAAGCAGTTTGTTGGCAAGTTTGTAACCACCAATTGGTTTATGGGCATGAGAAACACCTCTTTTGGTGTACACAGTAGAAATACTGAGCAGAAAGTAGCAGAGGGATTGAATTAATTTCTTTATCTAATATTAATAGAGTCTTTCTGCTGAACTCCCACCACAGCATCAAAGCACTGGCCTGAAAAAAGTTCTTGTTCACTGTTGACAGATATTGGCTGTCCTTTATGTCTACAACTCCTCTATTTTTCTAGTTATAGTCTGACGTGCCTTTGATCTTTGTAAATTGTACGCTTCCGACTCAGGACAGACAGGGTACTAGAAAAATAATATTAGTCAGGAGAAAGTGTTTCCATACATGTGTAAAATTATTTATTTTATATATATTTATTTGTAAGCAGGTTGCATAGTATGATGCCCAACAGTTTTCTGTCTGAGGAGCCTTTTATGGAACCAGAAAAGGCGGTGGGGGATGCGGAATATCTATGTGGACTCAAGGAATCCTACTTCAAAATACAAAATTCTGATTTATCTTTTGAGGAAACCATACTATTCTTACTGTGAAAGCAGATACCACTCATCTGGTGCACAATTCCTTTCCCAGCTTCACAGACCATACCAAATGGTACTTTTATTGTGGGTTCCACATCCCCAGATGGTACTCCATAGCTCCTAATGCTTATCCTCCATTCAGTGGTAAGGGTCTTCACAAACTCTTCCACAGTTTAGCCCTGATTTTTGTCTCTTATCATAGAATCATAGAATCATAAGGTTGGAAAAGACCCTTAAGATCATCAAGTCCAACCCTTAACCTAGCACTGCCAAGTCCACCACTAAACCACATCCTCAAGCACCACGTCTACCCTTCTTTTAAATACCTCCAGGGATGGAGAC